GCTGTCAACCACCAAGTGTTCACAGAAAGATGCATGTTTTTTGGCATCATCTGTGTGCATTATTGACTTACTTCATTGTATTCCAATGATATTGTTTTGTATTGTAATCAACAATATGTTGTGCAAGCTCAGCTTTTAGCTGGACTTAATTGCCCCTGCAGGAATTTTGGGTGGTGTTTCCTATATTCCTTGTAGCATTTTTGATCCTAAAAAGCCAGGCTGTAGACTCATTAATGATGATAATTTCTCTCATGTTTTATCTGATAAAATCACAACTGAAATGTAGTAAATATTAGAAATTACCAAATCTATACTTGCTGATAGGGTCAGTTTTTAGAAGTCATTTTTCAAGCACTAAGTAATCCCTGATATGTTGTTTTTCAGCAATGGCAGAGCTTTGGCTGGAGCATTGAGAGTGAAGCAGAAGATAGAAGGCTGATGCACTATATGTTCTTCATCTCAATTAGCTGTGGTGTTGTGCTATGCAGCTTCATCTGGGCATATTTGCCTGACCCTAGGTATTTAGAACATTGTACAGCAGTCTACCATGATGATATGTGGTAGTGCAGTGGTTCCATGTGTGCCTATGAATTTTAACATTATATTAAAGGCCACTGCATGAGACTAACTGGGTAGAGAGGCATGGGGATGGAGGAAGGGCAGCACAAGTGACATGTTTTTGCAGAAAAGTCAAAGTATTGTGTATGGCATGCATGTGTGAAACCTGCAGCTCAGTTTGTCAGCCTGTCCCTCTGCTTTTAGTCAGCAATATATTAATGGTTCACGACAGATTTGGGCAAACAGAATTAGTTGTGGCTAGTGTGCGACAGCTATCTATTATGGTTCTATATTATTTGTTTCTTTCTGGAGTGTGATGTCCCTATGGAAATATCCAGGTATGGGATGAAATGTCTTTAGAAATTTTTTTTCTTCATCCGTATTGTATGATGAATACCAGCCACAATCCCCCTGTCAAAGCCATGTGAACATCACACAGTGTCCCTGGTGAACTGAACAAGCATACCACTTTGTCAGGGGCCTGGACTGGGCACATCGGGAGGCATTCCTGCAGATCCATGCCCGTGAGTCTGCAGGCCTGCCGCTGCTTGACCCCAACCTGGTGGATCCGGCCAAGATTGAGCTTCCATCAGATGAGGAGCTGGGAGACACGAGGATCATCATCTAGACGATGGCACCGCACCCCCGTATTGTACATAGTGACGCGCCGGGCCGCGCCGGTGTGTGATTGAGGAACTCGGAGACCCCCGAGGTGGTGTGCTCCCATGCCTGGTGAGAAATAGAGTACTGCGGACATTCCAGTGTGTGATTCCGCGTAAACTATGCTAGGGAGCCGTGTACGGCGCCAAACATGAGATCACGTTGGTCGTTCCGCGTGTTCACCGGCACCACACCTGACAAACAACTGGCTATAATTTATTAAAAGCCATTCGTTTGTAAAAACGCAGATGGCTCACGACCCGTGAGCCGCGCCACTTCAGCTGTGTCTTCATGCCATAGGCCATTTGGGCTATCACAAAGTGCATCTCAACCATCACATGGTCGCCCTCAACTGAGGCCCACAAGCCAGGCAGACGGTAATGCCTGGGAATGAGTTGGCCGTGCGATAATGAGAGCGAGTTCACCGCTAATGGGGAGAAGCGGGCCGCCGTCACTCAGTCACTGTCGCTGTCACTGTCGAACAGCACGCCCTTGCGGCGGGTCGGTCTGGACGAGGTGCGGGTGCCAGACTGGGACGAGCCGCTGCTGGTCCGCGACGGCCGCGGCGCCGCCGCGAACGCCGCCGTGATGGGCACCAGGCCCTGCCGTCACATATGCGCACATGGTCACCGAGACTGCGACAATATCGTGGGAGCGCGGCGCGACGCGTTGTACACTGCGTCATGACGGTCTCGCTACCGCACGCACCAGGTCAAGGCGATCGGCAGGCACCGGACTCACCTGAACGGGGAGGTGGAGTGTGATCGCCGATGAAGGTCACGAAAACGCGGCGCATGGGGGGACTCGCGCATGCTGCCGCTCACCCAGCGGTACACAGCAATACAGGTCATGACTCTGGGTCTCTGGTGCCACGGCTGACGTCCAGCCAGTACCGTCACCGCACGTACAAACACGAGTTAGAGTTAACACGCGCACGGGTGGGGCCAATGTGACCCCCTCGAAGGTTGTCAGGAATGGTTTCCGAACGGCATGGCGTAGCCACGCCAAATTTGGCATAGGTGTGGACAAATGAATAGCAGATCGTTTGGTATCACAAATTTAGATGTATCTTACAAGGTCGCTGACCTACGGCAGGTTTAAGTCGGGCTATGAATTCAGCGAGGTCAATGCTAGGGAATCGTTCAATCTGATGCAAAAACGAAATGTCAGACGAAGTGATACATCACTGAAATACTTCCTTAGGCAACACAAAAATTAAATGCACAAATTCCATTGCCTGAAGTCAGGTATGAAGGTTATACCAGGGTCAAAAACAACCTGTCTTATTGCTTTAGAACTTGCTGTGACAGGAGGTTTCTGGCGCTCGTTTCGAATTTACTGATAACGGGAACCGCATTATACATCTTCCATAGACTTCTTATAGGTGAGAGCAGGCCACTGACCCAAAATGACCCAGGTCAACATTTTGTCTTGGGAACATACTGCCCAGCATAATTTCTGTCGCTTATTTAAATGCAAAAATCAAAGCAGTCTTGCCTGAGTTTGGTCACCGTGACCTTTGAAAGGTCGAAAAAGGCCAATGAAGTTAAATAAGCGTGCGACCTTTTGCCTGGAACAGGTGTCTAACTTCTGGCTGCACTTAAGACGCCAAATTGCGGTTTGACCCTGTTTGATCTTATTCGACCCCAAAGCCATGACCTAGGAACCTCAAACTTCGACCCACGTGAGTTCACGTACAGGCCAACACACCCCGTAAATCTGGTGTCTTAGCACACTTAGTTTCTGAGATCTCAGCAGGGTCAGGGCCCTCGCCCGAGCGAAGTGTATCCAACCCGCCACCCGGGCGTGTGCTAAAAGTCCAGCATATCCAATCATGATAACGGGCCACGACAGCGCACAAAGACGGGACATAGTGCTCAGATGCCTCATACACCGCGTTCCCCGCGCCCTTTCCGCGGTGGCGGGCCACGCCTGCCAGGCGCCAGCAGAGCCGGCCTGTCGTGTCCGACCCGCACCTTGCTGGCAGCGGCGCGGCCGCGTCCCCGTCCACGCCCGCGGGGTGCGGGACGTCCGTCGCCGGCGCCGCGACCGGCGCGGCCGCGGCCGCCCCGCGCCGCTCGCGCTCCAGCCCGCCGCCCGCCGCCAGTCGCGCTCTCCGCTGCAACATGGCATAGGCTGGTGAGGTAGACAGGGGCGCTGTACACAGCGCCGCGATGCGGGCTACAGCGCCCAATAACAGCCACAGCGCTGGGACACGAGCCACAGCGCTGGGGTACCGGCCACGGCGCTGGGAGACGGGCCAAAGCGCTGCGAGACGGGTCATAGCGCTGGGACACGGGCCACAGCGCTGGGAGAGGGGCCGCAATGCTGGGACACGGGCTACAGTGCTGGGAGAGGGGCCACAGCGTTGGAACACGAACCACAACGCTGGGATACCGGCCACAGCGCTGCGCTGGGGCATGGGCCATAGCGCAAATGTGACACCCGCCGTGTCCATGCGTTTCCTACCAGGTGTGATGATCGTTGATGCACACCTACTAGTCACGTGGCTCGTGTCTATCGTTGGCGGGTGCACCCCCTCCCCCCCTGTCGTGACCTCCGCAGTGTCCGGAGCCACGCCTGACCCCGGCATCGTGCCAGCGTCGCGACCGGCGCCTGCCGTCCCGTACCTGGTGGGTCGTCCGGCATCATCACGTCGTCCGAGTCAGAGTCGGAGATGATGGTGACGGCAGCGACGTCCGGCAGCGGCGGCGGCGGCGGAGAGCCGCCCTCTAGCACGCCGCGCATCTGTCGGACACCGTCGGCCAGTCACCGGCTGGCGCCAGCACAGCACTTCGTACACTGGAGACGCCGCTCATAGCGCTGGGCACGGCACAGCGCTCACCCCACACATGGTCCCAGCCAGATGGAACTGCTGTCCACGGAGCATGATTTCAGGGACGACGCCAAGACTCAGGAACGGAACATCTTTTGAACGACGATTGATGCAGAACGACGGTAGAATCCGCCATTTCCAAATTTCCCATGGAATCATACAAGGTTGTTTTCTGGTTGGCTGCGTCGTAACAGTCCTCTCACCATAACAATCATGGTAATCATCAAAGGCGCACCATAACGCTGGCGCAACCTTGATCATATACTAAGCGAACGTAGGCCCACGTAGCGAACGCCGACAGTGCAGTGGCACACGCCGCCAGAGAGAACAACTCCGTAAAGGCGCGTACCACAATGATCTTGACGGGACTCGCAAACGTTCACCCAATCGCTTCACCGTGCTTTGGTACGCCGCCCGGCCGACATGTCTGTGCGTGCTTCATGTTGTGACGCCGTGTTCACCTCCTCCTCCTCTTCGTCCGAATCCACCCTGAGCTTGTCGGCGGTGGCGGCGGTGGCGGCGGTGGCGGCGGTGGCGGCGGTGGCGGCGGTGGCTCCGCTACCGTTCATCTTCTCCAGCTTCTTCTGCGCGCGCTCCTCGCGGGCCCTGGCCAGCTCCTCCCGCGCGCTCGCCTCGCTGACTTCGAGCGGGCTGCGCGCCTGCAGCTCGGCCACCGCCCTCTTGATCTGGTGCCTGCGGCAGCGGGCGGCCGTCCCTGACATGCCTCGCCCTCGCCGGCAGTCTTTGGGCTCTGCCGCTTCGCGGCCATGCCAATCGTAGCACCTCTCGGTCGCCAGCACATATGTTCGATCGAGAACCAAGTGAGCGCGAATCGGGCGCGTCCAGCACTGCTGACACGACCCACATGGCGACAAACACGGCTTTACCTATGTCTCGTAAAAAATCACGAGCGTACAGCGTCGTCGTCGGCCGACGAGAGCCATTCGTGTCTTAGCTGGAGCTGTTTGCGGTCGGTACCTTGTAATAACACAGAGGCAATTGCTGACAGCTCTCAAAGGCAGCCGGGCACGGAACATGGCACCACACAGAACCTGGGCTGGTAAGCTGAGCTCCAAATGTTACCAAGTGGCTGCCAGAAAGACTACAGGATTGAACACCGCACGAAGCCCGCGTGGTCAGGCCAACAGACTCGCAAGCACTGACCCAGCAGCTACCAGTAACACTGCTGGATCCAGTAATTTGCACTGTCTGGGGAGAATTGACAGCCTGCAAATGACCGCTCGACAGCAGCACCAGTGAGCACTACTTACTTCACAACGTCGCTGATTGCACCAATCTCCTGCTTGAGGACGAAGCGATTGACAGCCATGCCCATCTTTCGCTCATCCAGCACGTGCAGTCCGGCACCCTCCTCCAGCTGCGCGAAGTACTGCACCACGAAATCTTCGACCCGCATCTCCTCCTGACAGACGCGCACAGTGAGAATAACAACAGCCCTATGGTCCAGTCGTTGCGGCAACGCTCTCGTCCTGTGGCGAAATTGATCAAATGGCAAGTGTGCAAAAAAAGGACTACAAGACCATAAACGTGGCGCTTGTGTCAATGCTAAGTCAGGGTAAGAATGAAGCAATATATACACGCCAACCCCTTCTGATGACGATAAAAAGAACTCACGCGGCACAGCGGAAACAGTCCTCACACATCCCTACCAACGCAGCTGACGCCCGCGTTGTCCGCAGGTCATACTACTGTCGGCAAGCTTCTGTCCAGACCCAGCCAGCGCACTTGGCAGTGAGCACTTACATGCTGCACGACGGCCGCCATCGCCCCGCCGTCCACGGCGTCGGCGCGCGCCTCCGCCTCGGTGCGCTCCCGCTTCAGCATGATCATGTCCTCGGGATTAGCCACCCGGTCCGAGTACTTCTGGCCGAAGCGCACGCCCTGGAACACCTGGTTCTCATCCGAGTACTCCACGCGCAGGCGCACCAGCGGGCGGCGCGGCTGCTTCTCGTGACCTGCCGGCGTCACACACAGCCACTGAGACGCATCACACACAGCCACTGAGACGCGTCACACACAGCCACTGAGACGCATCACACACAGCCACTGAGACGCGTCACACACGGTCACTGAGACGCGCCACGCACGGCTACTGAGACGCGCCACACAACGCCACTGAGACGCGTCACACACCACCACTGAGACCTCCCGTCGCCCAGACGCACCGGTCAGCTGCTCCTCCGCCTCCAGCAGCAGGTCGTCCACGTAGGCGGCGACGTACTGCTGCACGGCCGCCGACACGTCGCGCACGGTGAGGTCGAGGCTGGCGCACTCCGAGAGCCGCAACGTGCGAAACACGAACGGCCGCACCGTGCGCAGCGGCACGGACTCCATGCGGAACTCCTTGCCGCGCACCGTCAGCAGGCCGACCGCCTTCGGCTTGGCCTCGGCGTCGCACAGCGAGGTGGCCACCGAGCTGCCTGCGCGCGCGCGGCCGCCCGTTGTCAGGTCGCGCTGACGGCGGCAGGGTCGGTGGCGGCCACCGCGCTCGGCTCGCTTCAGGCTGCGTGGGAACACTCTGATCGAGCCGGGCGTTTCAATGTTACAACTGCTAGCGCGGGAGCGTACCAGTGCCATTCTCGCGGCGACGTGGAGATCGTAAAAGATCGATCGGAGGGGAATTTGAAATTGCAGCAAGTTAAAGTACCAGCATGTCTAAAAAGTGCATGGGCGCGCATAAAATAGCCTAACAAAGACGAAACTCGTCAGTGAGGGACCAATAACACTGAGTTATGAAAGAACATTGAAGCAAACTCGAGCCAGCACCACCCACCACATCAGTTCGTGATTAGCACTGCCCACACGCCTCTGAAGTCGATCAGCCCACGGAGGCGAGGCACCGGTGCCCCGGCCGGCGCACCCATCATCCTCTGCCGGCAGTCAGCGGCCCATTCGGGGGCGCGCCCAGCGCACATCATCAGACCGCCGCCGCCGCCGCCGCGCAGACGACCGGGACGTTTCAGAAGAGGCCGACCACCTGACCTGTCGCGGACTCACCGGGCTGCGAGATGTAGAGCTGCGGACGCTCCTGCCACTCGGGCCGCAGGCGGTTCTCGTGCTCGTGCCCCCACACCACCAGGTCGAGGAAGTCGTCCAGAAACTCCACCGGAATGTAGTTCTTGGGGCCGTGTTTCACGCGGTTTTGGTGGCAGCACGAACAGATTAAACCAGCTTTCTGTGTCTTCTTTAGGACGGAGCATCACGAACTAGACAGACAGACCCGCCGCGTCAGTGGTGGTTCCTCCAATAGAGAGGACGTGCAACGAGCTCACTTGTTGTGAGCTCAGCTGTCAGTGAGTGTGTGAGCTCACTCACACACTCACTGACAGGCAGAGCAGGCCGATATTTTCTTTGCTACGCCTGAATGTGAATGAGCCCTGTCTCGGCACGTGACTGGTCACCCCTGTCATGGCACGTGACTGGTGAGCTCCGTCTCAGCACGTGACTGGCGAGCTCCGTCTTCGCACGTGACTGGCGAGCTCCGTCTCCGCACGTGACTGGTCACCCATGTCTCCGCACGTGACTGTTGAACCCTGTCTCGGCACGTAACTGATCACCCCTGTCTTAGCACGTGACTGGTCACCCCTGTCTCGGCACGTGACTGCTAAGCCCCGTCTCGGCACGTAACTGATCACTCCTGTCTTGGCACGTGACTGGTCACCCCTGTCTCGGCACGTGACTGGTGAGCCCTGTCTTGGCACGTGACTGGTCACCCCTGTCTCGGCACGTGACTGGTCACCTCTGTCTCGGCACGTGACTGGTGAGCCCTATCTGGCACGTGACTGAAAAGCCCAGTCAACTCTGTTTCAGCACGTGACTGGTCACCGCCGGGCTCTCACGTTGCCGCCGGTGAAGATGCGGTGCAGCCGCTCGTCCCGGACGTTGCCGAGCCCGTACAGCGCCAGCTTGGTCTGGCCCTTCTGCAGCAGCACGGGCGCCAGCCGGACAGACTTGAGGTCGGTCCAGCGGCCGAAGTAGTTGATGAGTCCCGCCACGGAGAGCAGTTCAAGGGCAGCCGTGTCACCCAGCCCTGGGGTGGCAGAGCAGTTATAACTGATGAGTCCCGCCACGGAGAGCAGTTCAAGGGCGGCCGTGTCACCCAGCCCTGGGGTGGCGGAGCAGCTATAACTGATGAGTCCCGCCACGGAGAGCAGTTCAAGGGAGGCCGTGTCACCCAGCCCTGGGGTGGCGGAGCAGCTTCAACTGCAGGCTCTCATTCGCTAAGAAAGGATAAGGTACAAAATATGACACAACAGATAAAAACGTCCTGTCCCAGATAAAAACGTAGTTCATGACAAAATGACCCTTCACGGCCAGAGTTCAGCATACGACCTCCATCAAAATCGGTAGCAGCCTTCACAAATAGACTGGATGGCGAGGTGATCATGAACAAAATGTATGAGGCCATACAAAGCATGGTGGACTCCAGCAATGTTCACCCACCGCTGATGTCGTCGTGGTTGCCATGGATGGAGAACACGGGCATCGCGATGTTAAGGTTGGGGTCGTGAAAATTCACCCGTGGCTCCTGCATGCAGAAATCCTGACTGGGGTCGCTCAGGTATTCAAATGCTACCGGTCTGAAATAAATCAGAGGTCATCATTAGTCTTCAGAGGAAAGGCACCATGATAGGAGTTGGGAGCAGATGAGGACAGATGCTATTTGCAATCAGGTGTATGCCATGTTGGAATTGCAAGCTGGATGTAGCAATTAATGTTACATTGGATGTTGTATGTTAAGATTGGATGTTAAACAGCATCGCACCATTTCCTTTTCAGAAGAGCAAATGGCTACTACCAATCAAAACAGAGTGCAAACAACATGGTTTTGAGGCCCATATGAAGGTCAGTTTAGGATACTGTCTACCACAAACTATGCATTGTCACTGCCTGCCATTGAGACAGCTTGAAATATAGTTATCTATCCAATACCTGACCTGAGATTGGAAATGTGTTCAGGATATTCTTAGAGACATGCTACTTACCTGTCACCAAGACAATACTTTTTTAGGAGTTGTGAACATTGTATCACACAATTTCGAGATGGCTTATTTTCATGAAAGAGATCCCCACCAAGCAATATAAAATCTGCTTCTTTTTCATGGGCTAGTTGCAGAATCTCTTCAAATGTGGTCATGCTGTCACTGCCTGGAAATCAAGTAACCACAGATATAATTTTCTCCATAGATGTAGAGATGTCCAAGAACATGGGGGGGGGGGGCTGATGACTATTTTGAAACCAATATGCACATGTTTTACTCAGATTTTAATCTGAGGTGATGCAAGATGTGAAAGCAAGGACACGATTAGTTTAATGCACACTGAAAGCAGATATATGACCTAAATAATATGAATGGTCCAAGAAAAAAACAGATGTCAAAAAACTGTGGAAACTATGCATTTCAGTTGCAAGCCCCAAACTGCATCTTCAAGTCATACCTCTTTCTCCATGCTTCTCCTGGTACCCTAGGTGATTATCTGTTGCCACTAGAATTCTAAATTCATCCTCTGTGCCCAGTTCTGCAGGCATGATGGATCTGTAAAAGGCACTTTTGTCAGCAACCTGTTCTCTCATCGTACTCTCGCAATTCCAAAGCAAGGCATAAAGATATATGAATAGGTGCAGGATAGAACTTGGACCTAAAGAGCACATGTCAAGCCACCTTAGAAATTACTCCAAGGTCAGGTGGGCATAGAAAGAAGAATAACTGAATATCCAGCATAATCAGTCTGCAAGAACCCAGGTGCAGCCACTTGACAAATACAAGAGTGCACTTAACAAAGGCAGATCTCTCAGCTAGTTGCCAAGCCAGGGGTCAAAATGCAAATAATACATGTGATGTGGAACATGTGCACCATCTGGGCAAACTTTGTGCTAAATTGTTTCTAGTATGCACACCAAGCTATCAATGTCCCGAGGTTAGCAGCCACAACTAATAGCAAGTATGAATATTCCATGTCTGAAATAATTTGGAGGCTGTAAGAGCAATTAATGCTGTTCACAATCAAACATTTTGAAATTCAATAAAAGTTAACCAAAGCAGTGTTTATAGGACAATTGCACCAAGCTCAGCAGTTAGTGCATTGTTGTCACTGGCTCCAAAAGCAGCACACTGGTTTTTAGCCAATGGGCCAAGCAGTCACCATCTGGCATTGTAAAGTGAATGGCAAACCACAATCAATCTAAAAGCAGAGAATGGATATGAATTATGCTTAGTCCAGAACAACCCTTACATGCATGAATCAGACCATAATTGGTGTAAAATGGCCCACTGCTAGTAAACCCAGAACATCAATAACAAACCAGGCAGACAAGTACCACACAAGTTTGACAAGTTTGATAAGTTGGTCATTGTATGTCAGGTAGGTTGCAGGATCAGTAGCATAGCCAGCTTTTGCATAGTTTTTGAACAGTGGAGGGAGGAAGGAACTCAGATCCTAGGAAGCCCTTTCAGCCAAAGGTGGCTCTTTGTCACAAGCATTGTTTTTTAAATTCAGAGGAACTGGACCAAATTGGAAGTTTAACCCTCCATTGCCCAATACCTATCAAATGCAGTCCCGCCAACTTGCGGTGCCTCCCAATCTTTGCTTCGCTGTTACGTGAGGGAAGGACAGTCGATGGCAGAACAGCAGCGCAATGGCTAAATGAACATTGTGGATCATTTCCTCTTGATTATCATACCATCGAATCTTGAAAAACAGCAACACCAACACCCCCTCACAACACCACCTCTCTCACACACACACACCCAAATCGCTCAGCAGCACACCACTTTCGTCAAACGTTCGCGCCATCAGGGTATGGAAGAGACATAAATGGCGCTAATGGTAAGCCATTTGTAACTGCTACCAAAGTAAATGAAAAGACGTCACAATAATTGACTCTGGGAGATTAAAATGGTTTAAAATGGGCTAATCACTGTGTAACACGAATTAATTCAGGCTCCAGAGGGCTGGAGATGTCCTGAGGGTCTTCGTGAGTCAGACTGTGACCTGGGGTACTTTGATTTACTTGACACTTTGCAACCTATAGTGACGTCAAAATGTGGTGCAGTCGCATGGATGGCAGGCTGCAACATTTCCGAAACTCCAGAATAAAAACAATGAGCTTGCCTAAAATTGGTGGCTGTGTTCGCAGCGGTTAAAAATCTTTGCTAAACGGGGCCTGTGTGCTCTTGCGTGTAGCACCTTGCGTGTAAAATCTTGGTGGGTACCTTGGAGCTTAGAGCAACTGGTGCACCTCGTGTGGACGTGACAAGCGAGAAATGTTTTGAATAGAGCCATAATAATAGGCTGTAAGCATAAAACCACAACAGTGCGACTTTTGGGCCGTAGGACAGTCTGGTCACTGAGCCCCAGGCTAGTCAGGAGACAGAGCCCCAACCTAGTCAGGAGACAGAGCCCCAACCTAGTCAGGAGACAGAGCCCCAGGCTAGTCAGGAGACAGAGTCCTAGGCTAGTCAGGTCACTGGGGCCTATGCCAGTCTGCAAAAATCCATCCGCTGTGCTGGATGCCTATATGACTCAGGTGCTCCTGGCCTCATGCTTGTATGTACTAAACTTGTGTGATTCCAGTGGTGCTGAATTAATTTTCATATTCCTGTGGGAGAACTGTTCCATGACACTTTTGCCTGTAATTACCTTCTCAGCATCATCATTTTGTGAAACATTGGCACTATGCACCAACATTGGTGTCAGCTGTGGGAAACCCAGTGCTCACATTCATGGCATGCATGCACCAAAAATTTTGATATAGTCACTGCTGTGCTGGGCATGGTGCCAATGCATTTGTACAGTCTGACCTAGGTATTAAAGCCATTTTCTAAAGCTAAGATTTGTATAAGCAAGTGACATTTAGTGGGAGAATACCTGTTACACCCACCTTGTCCTTTTCAGTTGAGAGTTCAGTTGATAACATTATTTTTATATCTTTGATGACACTCAGTTGGCTCACCCACCTGGTAGGGATTCTTTTTCTTCTAAAGTGGCACTTATTGTCATCTGTTATCCATTGAGAATCAGAAGCCAGAAGCACCATCCCTTTGTTCAACCTTGCATCCATCTCATGGCTCAGTTAGTTTGTGTGTCTGTGCTTTGGTCCACCAACACATGGAAGGGTAGGTTAGAGCTGCTTTAAGCATCCATTTTTCAGTGTTGACTGGTCTGGCCTGTGGATGGTGGCTGCATTGGTACTAAAGGTCAGGTGATGCCTGAGAGCAGGACACACATTGTCAAGCATTGTGTGTGGACACCATGACATATTTCAGTAAGATCCTGTTGGTGTAGAGGTGATGCACAGCTTCCAACTTGGGATAGCCTACCCAAATTTGATGACAGAAATGTTGTGTTTTATATAAAAAAGCTGATAAGATCATAGATACTGACTAAATCTGATGATATAGCATGTCTTTGTGGATGTGAAAGATCAACAAAATCTGATCCAAGTGGGACAGCTTACTACTATATTTGAGACAATATTCTATCTGCCCCAAGCATGTTGTTCATATCTTGACCATGGTTTGCAGAGTGTCCAAGCATTGCTGCACATTCTGCTTTTAGTGCCAAATATTGCTGTTAACCTGGAATTTCACTGTGGGATGGTGTGTGTCAGGACTCACTGGTGGCAATGTTTCATTTATGGCACCACATGTGATGCTGATAATGAGCCAAAGTTGTATCCCAAAGACATTCATCAATTGCACATGCCCATCATCTCTTCACCATAATCAACTGATTATCATAGTGGACCATGCCATACTCCAATTAAAAAACATATACAGCCCATTCATAAGCCAGATTTCACCCAGCATGGCCATTGATTTGCAAGTATGTGAACCTGAATCTGCATTAAACTGAACACAGGCTTAGAAGCATCATGCAGGATTTAGGCAACATTAATGCATTGTTGAGGTGCTAAAGCTTGATTGTGAGCAACAAGGTAACATGCTTGGAATGAACTTAACAATACTCCAGGGCACCAGTACATATTGGATGGATGGAGCTGATGACTTCTTGTTGGCAGTGATCTGAAATAAAAGAACAAAAACAGCACAAACAGCACTAAAAATGGAATGACATTGTGTTGCACAAGTGACAGCCCATTTAATGTGGCCTGAAAACAGAGATCTCATGTTATCCACTGTGACATTTTGAAACAGGTTTCCCAGAATCTCAGAAGCTTGATAAATATGGACATTATGGTCTTAATAGTGTGTTATATGATTGTTATATGCATGTGATTTCATTATTTTTACCCAAATTTTGGTTACATCTAGCTCATGTTGACATACTAGTGTTAAACATTATGTGCAAGTGCATATCCCTCAATGTTTTGTCTGTTTTCAGGCACAGTGGTACATCCAAGATGCATTCTGCTGCAATGTTCTCAGCTCTCTTGATCATTGTTGCCTCTTTTACTATCCATGATACTGAGGTGAGTACTCTTACATTACACTAGCTATTTATCAATTTGTGATATATATATATATATATATATATATATATATATATATATATATATATATATATATATATATATATATATATTGGTCATCTACAACTAAATTATGCTGCTTGATGACCCAGCTTTACAACATATATGAAACAAGATATTAGTTTTGCAGATGGATTATTTCTTTGAGGGTCATCCTGGCCTGGTCACTAAGTATCTGCTTAATCCTTCAGTTTGTTAGTTCTTGGCCTTTGTCAGGTGTTGACTCCTGGAAGGGATGGGATGAAGTTTGGTTTTCAGTACTGTAGACATCATAACCCAAACTCTTCTTGCAGTTGCAGAGCTTTGGATCAGGATATTCTGATTATGTGTCCAGCATTCTACCATTAAGCTGGCAGTCTTCTGGAGTCTAGAGTTCTACTGCTGGGCTGAGAGACATTCCCAGTCAGTTCAGTGGTAGAATGTTGGACTCATAATCAGCATACCCCGGCTCGGCTCCCATCAATTCCAAGTACAAGACGTGGGTCATTATGCATGCATGACTTCAACGTCAGTACCACCCAGTCCTTTACAGTGCATCAACAACACCTGATGCTGTCTGAAAGAAGCAACTGGCCAAAACAAAGTGGGCAACTAAAATGCCAGGCGAGGATGATTAGTTTGATCAATTATTTCGGCCCATAGTCGGTCCAAGTGTTTGATCTTTGCTTTTTTATGTTTGTTATGTTTAAGATTGTAGCTCCCTCTGCATTGTATTCATATGTCAAGTTATTCTTCATAGTTCTTTACAACATACCAGTGCAAGTTAAGGTTGATTTTGGCACTTTTGATCTCTTTCAGGCCCTCTATGAAGATGTGAGATGTAAGTGTGTTTGTCCCAACCCAAATGTTGTTAATGGGTCATCATCTGACAGAAAACTCTACATTGCCAATGTGGCTCCGAATCTGTGGTAAGCATATTTTACCAGATATGTTCCAATTATCCTTTATGTGGCAATGGCAGAATCTTTTACGTGTTAGTGTTCTAGGGTGTGTAAAAATGGTCCATGAAGAGCTGTGCTTCAATGCAAACTTGTTTGAAAAAATGCTGATTTTTGTATGCACCACCAGTCCTGCCTTGTTGGCAGTGGTGAATGCTGTGTATAATTTCCATATGATTTGGTGGTCTTGTGCCTTGATTTCATGATCTCATGTTGTATCTTGAAGAAACAAATTGCTTTTGATTGTAGTACACCCACTGTGTGTTACAATTAGTAGTATGTTATTTTCTAAATTTTGGAAACATATGGAATATAGCATGTATGGGACCATTCTGTGTGGAGCATATTGTTACCCAAAGATTGAAATTCTCTGCACTTAAAGCACATAATTATATTCTGCCATGCTGTCGCCAGAAAATTGGTTCACGTCAGATGTGTCGTGTTTCAGCAATTGTGACAATGTGATTCTGCCGGAGCTGCCTGCGAATTTCTCGAAAAGTCGTGAATTCTGTCCGCTTTGTGAATGCAAGTTTGAAAGCAGGAATACCACCACGATCAAGGTCTGTGTCTGCCTATCTTTTAAACCGTCTCTGACCAGTTGTTTGCTCTGTAATTAGTTCGCGTATGAAACGCGCGGGAAGCGCCTGTACAGATCGCCACCTCGCTCTGCTCGTGCGTCGTGATTCATCCTATTGTCATGAGTTTGTCCGACTAGGATTTTATATTGCGTCACATTTTGACATACGCATACATGGTCGGTGATGGATGTGGATGCAGAGTGCTCATTTTTCATGCTCACGATCATGCAATGCTTGAAGAAGTTAGCAACGAGCGATAAGCAACCATGCGATATCATCTTGTGCGTCATACGTAATCCGAACACCACAGCATCATCCAAACACCCATCGTTTTCCTGTGCCCTAACGCTTCTATTCGTGAGGTACTGTACGGTAGTGCTGCGCTCGCTTGGGTGCCGGTTCGTTGCCTCGCCTAACGTGGCTGCACTCCCGCACTCTGCCGGCAGGTGGTCGTCATCCTAATCATATGCATCATCTCGGTGCTGGTGATCTACATGACGTTCCTCAGCTGCCTGGATCCCATCCTGAACAAGCGGCGTGCCACATCCACTTATCAGGAACAGACCAACGACGAGGTGAGGCCCGGCCAGCCGATCCGTCCATACAGGCGCCGCGTGCACACGCGGAACTCGCCCTCAGACTGGTAAAACGCTCCCACGTAGAGTGGGACTTATGATACAGCCTCCCATGCGAACTATGTAAAGGTTAGCGATACAAGCGACGCCCATGTCTTTGTGCACTGCGGTGGATTCTGGGCCTTAGTTGTCAATTCCTACACAAGGGTACTCTGTTACTGTTGTCCATTAGGAGCGGCTAGCGCTATTAAAGGGGCGAATAGGCGCAGGCAAAAGGGAGAAAGTCTGCCTCCCCCCCCTCACCTCATGATACTCACGTTTTTCATTTCTCACCATGGATGGCTTCTGACAGAAGGTTACTTATCAGCGTGCTACGTTCTCGCCGAACTTTGCCCCTCGCCTCTCCTTAACGACTATCCTGGCTGCCTCCCTGTAAGGCATGTTAAGTGATACTGCATTTTAAGAGTTGTGGTTTAGGTGGAAACACCACGTGCTGTGAAAGTTTGTAGCACAAAACTGGAGTCCCAGAACAGTATTTTGTAAAAGTTGTTCCGAATGATTTGCATGAGTGGCTTTGGGTTCAGAGCACCTGGAGCATAGCTTGCTGTGTTTGCCTTGAACCTACCAACCGAGTTGTGTTGTTTGGTTCAATGGATAGTTTTGTCCCCATATTTTCGCCGTACAGGACTGCGGAGAGCTTTATACGGATACAACTGAAATAGGGACAGTTAAGGTAAATTATGTAAATTATTGGATCACTGCCAGAGGGTTCCAACAGTCAAACAGCTTAGATGCACTTCTGGAAAACCAGAGGAACGGTTTCGATTTCTCTGCGATACCCGCCCTTCCCGCTAGGATGAAAAGCAGACGACGCCACAGAGTCTCAGCAGCTGAGTGCAGTCGTAAAGCCCCAACAGCGACGACCTTTGGGCCCTAGACAAAGTGGGGCGTATAACTGCGGTCTGTAATGGCTGGCATACGAATCACCGAGATGTATGAAATAGTTTACGCCTAGGCGTCGTCGTCTGGCTGTGTGTACCACTTGGGTGCGCGTATCCCCATGATGACAGGGGTGTGTAGCTTGCGGCGCACTTTGCGGCAAATCCACTACGCTTAATTGTAATTGTGCTTCCATATGCATCGGAACTTATGGCAGCACCTACGAATGTGAAAAAAATCAGCTGTAGGCCGGAAAGGAATGTACGTAGCCGGTTTGTGCTTGACACCATTGCCAATCGGAATGGAGTTCGGTGTGACCAGGTGTCGCGAGTCAGGTTAAATTCATTCCTTTGAGCATTTGTTGTGATTCAAGGTCAGGGCTGAGTCAGCCAAATCATCGGTGGGTCGGGTTAAATGGAAATGTAAGCAATGGCATCCATTAAAAGCGCGCGGCCGATGTGTCGACCAAATGAACCATACCTGCCCATGGCTGCTCCGTTAAAATGTATCTCCTACGTTGGCTTCAGGCCAGGGCATTGCTTTGGTGATATAATGGTTTGGCTCAGTAGCTACTATCAGAATTGACTCCATCGGAATCGATTGTGGAGAAGAACCATGCATCCTGGAGTCGGGACCCGGTTCAACTCTGTTGAACCGGGTCCGGGAGTTGTACTGCTCTGTTCTGAGCGGGAGTCAAAGTGAGCCCTGGAAGCAGTGAGTCGGCGCCATAGGCCGTGGCTGGGTGCTGGAGTAAGTCTGCGGGAGACAAACATTTCTTCAATTTGTGGTGTGGCGTGTATCATGAACACACATACCGTGTAGACGGAGCCTCTGTGGAGATGGAGGGCAAACACCCAATCTTGCTTCCCTCCATGCGCCGTCTTAGGGCTAACGCTAAATGTTGCCCGGACTTGGGGCGGGGGAGGGGACAGCCCCTCCTGCCCCCCCCCCCCCCTTATCTGCAGCCCCTGTCCACCATGCGAGCTGTGTTGTCGAGCCCAGCCGATGGCGTCGCCCCCGCTCTTTTGCCAGATAGGAATGCGGATGGATCTTAGGTATGATGTAACGTTGCAGGGCAGCCGCTCTCATTGGCTGGTTGTCAGCTGACCTTTCTGTGTCTGCCGGGTCAGGTGACCAATCCGCTTCGCGGCTAGTATCCAGTGCCGCCTCATAACGGCCCGGCGTCCTTCCCCAGACCATGAAGACGTCATCTTGTGTATGAGATCGAATTACACAGGCGTAGTTTCAGCTCTACATGTACAACACTTGAACCTTTCCAAAAGACGGTCTGTTTATTTAAACACGTCACGCAAGCTCATCTGGGATCTGTGGTTTGGGAGATAATGACTTGTTGAACTGAGCGGCGCTTCGACTGATATGGCAGTTTCGCAGAATTGGGGACATACGAGATACTTTATCAAAGTGAACTGGTCGAAATATACTGTGCATGTTCATTGTATTGAACTGTCACGGACCTCGTACATGCCCAGTGTGTGCATGACCCTGACCCGTCTACGCTGGACCTCGTCCCTGACCGTCTGCGCTGGACCTCGTCCGTGACCCGTCTGCGCAGGGTCGCGCCGCCGAGCCGTCAGCTGACGCGCCTGCGCCGTTCCAGGACGAGTTGAGCGGCCGGATGGCGCAGCCGCTGTACGAGCAGGGCAGCGTGCTCAACCGCGTCGGCAACCGGCAGGACCGCTGGAAGCGCCAGGTGCAGGAACAGCGCAACAACATCTACGTGCGCCGCACCATGCTCAACTAGCGTGGCCGGGGCTTCTGTGCGCCGCGTCGGGCCGGGGCTGCGGTGGCGGCCGCGTGGAGGCCGGCCGTTGCTCTGGACAGGCTCCGGCGTGCGGCGCGTGACGTTTGCTGGGAGTCGGGCGGCGCGGAGCGGGGCCGGTCGGCGCTGGGTTGCTGGCCTGGGCCGCTCGGGAGACGGCGTTGCGGTCCGCCCGCGTGCGATGGACCCGGTCCGGCGGGCCGCTACCCCAACGGTGGTCCGGACGCGACCGCGCCAGGTCAGGCGCGAAGGAAACCCTGCCGGCACCGCGGCGGAAGTCGCAGCTTCTGAGGACGCCGGAGCGCCAGTAGAAGGGACGTGGGCAATGGGCAAGGAATTAGCGGGACTGATCGTGAACTCCAACGACGCGTGGTGCTGCGGCCGCTGGCGGCTGCTCGCGGGGTATACGGGATCGCCTACGTTCGCCGCCGATGGGCGGCGCCGTCGGGACGGTTACCCGGGGAGGGGAGGGGGCTTGGCGAACGGCTGCGTGTGTCATTCGACACACCTCCCGGCGCGCCCGACGCCGCGGGATCGTCGCACGCTGTGTATCGCCGTGCGTCGCCCCCCGCCCTGTTTATGTTGTCTGATGTCACTGGTGATAGGCGACCTCTGGTCAGCCTGCGAGGCGTTCCTTCAGATAAACATAGGCGCGCGTGGCTCGTGGGGCTTCCGGCGGGGAATGGGCGGCAAACATGAAACGTGCGATCTGAAAGCTGAACGCTCTGTTCGGTGATGCCTAGGGTGCAGTTGGTTTCCAAAGCCGGGACATTTGTCCCCTCTGTTTCAGTTTTGTAGCAGTTTCTTGCGTTATCCAGCACCCAGACCTCGGCTGAGGTGGGCTGACGGGCAGGTTCTCAACTGATGCCCTGCTAGTCTTGTCGGCACGTTTTGTTATCTGCCGTAGCCGACATCCTAGGCAGCATATTCCAGTAAAAAATGGTCTGTTCCCGTTGTAACCGGTGTGAGTGAGTTTCCACTGTTCCACGCGTGAGCGGTAACCTCAAAAAGAAGTCCAAAATAGTCTTATTCTGATCTTCGGATCAGATTTTAACCCAGAACCAGATCAGACGCTCTGCACACCTGGGCCGAACCACATCATTGAAACGACCGGACTGGAATATGTGGAACATCCTGACCTGACATAGTATTTTGGATGGGGAAACGGGCATTGCACGGGGTAGACTAAAGGGACAACATCGTACTTGGTTAATTTTTGGAGGCACATGCCCCGTTGTCTCCCTCGTATGCACACCCATGCCTGTACGTGTTTCAAATTAAGTGCGTGTGTCGCGCCGCCACTGTCGAGCTCACGGGTGGTGCGCCTGGGAGTCGGACGGGACGGCGCCGTCAGCGGCCCAGAGTGGCCGGCGTCCGGGGGCCGCCCATCGCCGCTGCCTGTGCCCCGTGGGTGTGTGGCGCCGCTGCAGACACGTGCCGTTCAGCGATGTTTGAAACGTGTCATGTTCATGTGATGTATCACTGTATATTATTCATTAGCCTAGCATTACGCATTATTATTATGGCTATCCTTGGTGGGCGTTGATGTTGGTTTACGGTTGCTGGTGCTGCCATTGGTCTGGCATAGTAGGAATGGATTGTGGTCAAATTATTGAAGTATTTTTATGACAGCATCATATTCGTCATTTCCACTAAAAAGCTTAGCACATCTTCGTTCGGCCAGTGCATACTTGAGACGTCACACGGCAATAAGCAAATGGTTATTTATCTGTACATTCAGCTGAAAGGTGTGGAAAAAAGGTGTTGATGAATACTTGCCGTGTGGATCTTCTGTGGGCTCAGCTGAACGTAGAGGCTGGTTCATATCCGCATGTGTCAAAGATTGTGAATGTTTATGGTATATAATATATTTGGTTGTATCAGTACTGGCTAGTGTTCTGCACCAAAGACGGAAAAGTGACGTGAGGGCCCGCTCCATGTGTGGGCATTTGTGTCCTAGTTTTGTACCTGTGACTAGAAGCCATGCTTACCAGATGCGCATTGGGGTTTGGCAAACAATTTGCATAGAATCCGTGACCTTGATGCATCCTTACATAAATGCCTATATATATATATATATGTATATATATATATATATATATATATATATATATATATATATATATATATATAGTGTTGGTTGTATAAAGCAAAGACGTTATGATATATACATTTGATTCTGAAGGTAAGCCTATACAGTATTGCTGTTCTCAGTATTCGTTGGTGTGTGTACTACACAGCATTCGTGTTTTACAGAGCGCTACTCGGAAAGGTCAACAGGACTGTGTGCCGAGTGTGTGATGTTTAGCGCCACATGTGACGTCATTAGGCATGTGGCTGCCGCCCACCTGTCCATTCCTTGGCGAATTCGACCATGGCTATTGATCGCTTTTTTGAACTTTCATTGTTCAGCTTCAGGTAGGCAGCGGCGTTCGGGAACTCCAGTTCTTGCGATAAATGCTTGAGAGTCCCGGGAGACGCTCATTACCGGCCACTGTGAACTAAATCAGACGATCAGGCCCCTAGCAGTTATTGACACGCCATGTGATATGTGAGGGATTTAGCCAAACTGCGTTGCGCTCGACAGCGTGTGGCCAGCAATCCACTGGACCGGATGTGCGCCAATCCGATGGCTTGTGCTTATGTTAGTCGAGTTGCTTCATTCCAGGGTCGTGACCCCGTCGGTTGCCGAGTGCCCGACCACATGCTGTGGCCAGAGAACCTCCGGCCGGATAGACCGCACTGGAATCGCGCAAGGTTTGGAAGAAAGTCTCATATGAAAAACGTTCGCATAGCGGTAATGAACGTACGGCGATTGTTCCCAAATAATTGCACGCAGGCAAGTGCTCGTAAAGGATATAGTTCATTTGACGAAAGTACGTACGAAGTAGTCCGTGATTATGCATTGTAAAAGTAACCAATCTGCATGGATAACACTGTGGGGAGTATACCAGGGCAGATCGGCTACCCGGGCACCAACTCGTTCACCATGCCGTCTCCCGGAGCTTCGGGAGAGAAGGCATCGGAAGGGCTTCGCCGGGATGCGTGGGCTTGCGTCCGATACTTTGATTCACTAAGGTTGAAGGGGTCCTCCTGTTCTGAAAGTTGTAGGGGATGCGTTCCCAACATTCCCTATGGTAACTGCGTCCTGGTGCGCGACATGACCCGAGGCATATAATCTGACTGCAATTTCTTAATCGATTCTGCATACAGGTTGAAATAAAAGCATTAGCAGTGTTGGGTCGGGTGAAGGTAAGATCCTTATCAAGGCGGGTGCATCTTTCCGGGCTCTGGTCTACTTATTTAAGTGATCATATACCAGGCATGACTCGCGCGTCCGCCCACCGCATTCCAGAAGCCAGATGACTCCAGCCGCGGCCGTCAGTTGGCGTCGTTAGCGCGCTCAGGAAGTGCTCGGCGGGGACGACAGAGAGGTCATCAGGGTGGGATAACGGAGGACACAACAAACGCGACGGATGATCTGCGGTCGACATATATTTTCGCTTCTACATTCCAGTCATTTTGCACGATTCCCATTAATTCGGGGTAATCTGCTGGCTACCGCATGGCGTTTCATTTCGTGACAGGAAAAGCAAGAAAAAACATAATATTTGAGTTGATTTTTGCAGTTGTCGCTGTCCGCTGCCAGCCCATAACCCCTCCCTCCCAACCCCGTCATCGGGCTGCGTTATTCATCTCAGAGCCCTGTTCAAAAGGTTTTTGAAAATACCGTGAAATCTTCACTCGGAGATGTTCAAAATGCTTTTAAAAATCGTTAACGTCAAGCTGGCACTGATTATTTGAAAGACATTAGGAAGACCGCCACACCTGCGGCGTTACGAAGGCAGCCTGGCTAATGGCGTTGGCAGCTTGCTTGTACACACTGGAAGCTTGTATTCCCCTACGACCTGCACATTGATTCGGATGTGCACAGTATGTCGATGTCCTACCC